GGGGATTGGAGGCCTAGAACGAGGGGTGGGGATGGGGGTGTAATAATAACTTGCTAATTGCTATGTATCATGCTTTAAAACCTCCAAAATGTAAAATAGTTATATCAGGGAGATCTATACACAAATAACAAGCCGAATTTATTATCTACTTTTCCTAAGAGATATATACAAATTATTATATACATATGTTATACATTCATCGTCTATTTTTAATGATACGTCATATAAATAAGAAGAGAACGAACCAGGAACATGGACTTGATGTGATTATGATTGATCTCTTCAGGGTTTTCTTTGCTGATATTGAGGAAAACTTCCAAAACATCACTCTTTGCGCGACTAAATCTATTATTTTCCTCCAATCGCTCGTTGATCAAACCATCAAAAAGTTTCATCAACTTACCAAAATGAAATGTTGCACGACGCCTTATCCCTTGAGGATCAATTTTTTCGAGTAAAGGGAAAAAATCTACTAGGTTAGGCTTCCCAACCTCAGCCATAATGCCCCAAATCACATCCTTCAGTTCAACCTACAAATTCAAAAAGTATAGTTAATGCACCCAGTGGCAAAATTTCTCCAAGGCTGTTTAAACTTAAAAGAAGTAAAAATAAAAATTCCCCGATAAAGAGTGTTCAATATATGTTATATACCCCTAAAACTTGATTATATTTTATCTATATAGACAATGTAATTTTTCGACTCAGTTCTGGCCACTCTTGATAGGCTATAGCTTTGCCCCTGAATGTGCCGTTTAGTACACATAAAGCCAAAACGAGGGGTCGGGTTGTTACAAGTTATTGATCAGAATTACCTTTGAATCCGAAAAGGGGTCAGCCAGGTCCTTAGAGAAAAGGGTGTTTGACACCAAATAGAGATTAGTCTTGAAAGCAACTTGACCTATATCCACAACTTCACCTTCTTGACTACATTTTGCACAATAAGCAAGCAATTCTTTCACCTTTTGAGATCTTAGATGTTGATTTGCATCAAGCCTATTGGAAGAGAGGAGGTTGGTGTTCAAGATTCGTCGAAGCGTTCGCCATTGAGGACAAACAGGAAGCCATGCTACAGAAAATTTGTAATGGTTATGAGCTTGCAGGGCATTAGGAATAAATCTAGTTGAAAATGCTTGATCTTGATTTTTAAGGACTTGTTTTGCCATGGTTGAAGAAGAAATGACAATTGTAGTAATTTGGCCAAGTTTTAAACTCATAATTGGACCATAGATTTTTGCAAGATTGGCTAGTGATATATGAGGTTTTTGACCTAATAAGTGAAGGTTTCCTATAATTGGCCATGGTTTTGGCCCTGGTGGAAGTTTTTTGGTACCTTTTCTGCGTATTTTGGCTAGAATATAAAGAAAACTCAAGGCAAAAATTGATCCTAACACAAGTGTATAATAATCCATTATGCTCCTCTCACACCCTTTCTTCAACTTTGAAAAATGAAAAGATGCTTTAATTTCCTCCTGTCAGTAATAAGTAGAGGTGTGTGTTTGATTTGGATCGTGCATTTAATAATCAGAAAACTGAAAATGGACAAGTCAGTCACCATCCCCCACGCTGCTAGCAACTTTATACAATACATGACTACTACTCTCTCTATTTCAAATTATCTGCCGTATTTCTCCTTAAGAAATATTTAATTAGGAGGAGGGTTTGACTGTTTTATTCTTATTTATCTTAAGATATAATCTCTCTTCATGGAATATTTATTCTATTTATGTGTTATATCTATCTTCAAGAATAATTATAATTAAGGGTAAAATGGAAAAAATATACTCCCTCTGTTCCAATTTATGTGAACCTGTTTGAATGGGCATGAAGTTTAAGAAAAAAATGAAAACTTTTTGAATTTGTGGTCCTAAACAAATCTAAATGGGGTCCAGAGTATTTGTGTGGTTACAAAAGCTTCTCATTAAGGGTAGAGTTGTAACTTTAAGCTAAATTGTTACCAAATTTAGAAAGGGTTCATTCTTTTTGGAACGGACCAAAAAGGAAATAGGTTCACACAAACTGGAACGGAGGGAGTAATTTATTTTGTCTTGATGTCTCTTTTCACACTATGCTAGTCATAATATATTAATAGGAGCATGAGAAGAGTTCTACATCCAAATGGTTGGGCTGTTTTAAAGGAGTAAATGCTTTCTTTAATTATTACATAATAGAAAGCAACGTAAATGGTGATTTACTAGTCCGTTTTCAGTTTATTACCAAACAAAAAACAAAAAACTGCATTACTTGTCTGTTTTACATGAGGTCTCAAGTTCAAATTCCATTCGAAGCAAAAATACTAGATGATTTATTTTCATCTATTCAAGCTTTGAAGGACAGAGTTACTCGATACATGCTGGTCAAAGGTAGCAAGGTATCTCATAAATTTTGTTGAAGTAGGTGCAAGTTGATCCGAAGACGACGATTATAAAAAAAGTTTCAATTATTTTACTATAGAGAAAATGGACTAACAACCAAAGTTACTTGAGAGCCAGGCAGCCAACTTTGACCCCAAAAGAAAAGAATTTTTGGGAGCACCTGGTATGTTTTATATTGCACAATTGCTCAATTTTACCTGCAGTTTGCTTTTTGTTCTACCAAAAATACACAGCAAAAAACTTCCACCAGGGCCAACACCATGGCCAATAATAGGAAACCTTCACTTATTAGGTGCAAAACCTCATATATCACTAGCCAATCTTGCAAAAATCTATGGTCCAATTATGAGTTTAAAACTTGGCCAAATTACTACAATTGTCATTTCTTCTTCAACCATGGCAAAACAAGTCCTTAAAAATCAAGATCAAGCATTTTCAACTAGATTTATTCCTAATGCCCTACAAGCACACAACCATTACAAATTTTCTGCAGTTTGGCTTCCTGTTTGTCCTCAATGGCGAACGCTTCGACGAATCTTGAACACCAATATCTTCTCTTACAATAGGCTTGATGCAAATCAACATCTAAGATCTCAAAAGGTGAAAGAATTGCTTGCTTATTGTGCAAAATGTTGTCATCAAGAAGGTGAAGCTGTGGATGTAGGTCAAGTTGCTTTCAAGACTTCTCTCAATTTGTTATCAAACACCCTTTTCTCTAAGGACTTGGCTGACCCCTTTTCGGATTCAAAGGTAGAGCTGATCCATCATTTTCAACTTTTGGATTCTTTATACAAATAGCCGGTAGGATTCACTATTTACTTTTTTCAGTCAGTATTAATTATTTACTTTTCTTAGTCAGTACACATAGATTATACTAGTTATACACAATTATATACATATTGTATATTTGCCGCTATTTTGAGTTTAAGCGAGTCGGTAAGTGGCTATTTAGTTTAATTCTTCCTGACTTTTTGTCCGGCTATTTCTCTCGCTTCGATTTTTGTATTACCGTGTTGTTTTTTCTTTCGCTTCAATTTTCTTATTATTTTGCTGGTGTTATTTGCTTGTTGTGAGGGTCTATCAGAAATAGCCTCGATCTCTACCTTCTCAAGGTAAAGGTAAAAGTTGGGTACTATCCTCCTCAAATCCTACTTGTACGATTACACACTGAGTTTATTATTGTTTCGTGACTTTTTATGCATAACAAACGGTGCATTGAATGTACTATTAATTGCTATACTATTGATAAAATTGTTTATCACCCTTTTTTGATACAAAGGTAGAGCTCAAAGAGGTGATTTGGGGCATCACGACTGAGGTTGGGAAGCCTAACCTGGTTGATTTTTTCCCCATATTTGAAAAGATTGATCTTCAAGGGAAAAGGCGTTGCACAACTATTTATTTTGGTAAGTTGTTTAAGCTTTTTGATGAGTTGATCAATGAGCGATTGGAAGAAAAGAGAAGAAATCGCAGTGAAAAGAGTGATGTTTTGGAAGCGCTCCTCAACATCAGTGCAGAAAATCCTGAAGAGATTGATCAGAATCACATCAAGTCCATGTTCCTGGTACGTGCTCTTCTCTTTTATCTTGTGAACTACTTTTAATATAAAAAATAAATGTGTATAAAGTAAAAGATAGTTTATGATAGTTTCTTTTAGTTGTTGTCAAAGGCGAACCAGGATTTGATGGTCGAGGGTGCATTTTTAGATTCAACTAATATCTACTTTGTAAATAGAATATTCACTACTAATATATCACTATTTCTAAAGATATATACATGTATACATAGAATTTTACTGAATTATACGGGTAACGGTGACCCCTCTCTATAGCATAGGTCTGCCTCTGGTTATAATATGTTCTGTTTTGCGCTAATTGCTCTTTGTGCATTGCCTTGTATTCACCAATCATATCGGAATACAAATGTACATTTACAGGACCTATTTGGTGCGGGGACTGATACAACAACAAGCACATTGGAATGGGCAATGGCAGAAATGCTTAGACAACCTGAGATTATGAGAAAAGCACAAGTTGAGCTTGGAGAAGTCATTGGAAAAGGAAAAATAGTAGAAGAAGCTGATGTTTCCCAACTTCCTTACTTGCAATGCATTATCAAAGAAACCTTAAGAATGCACCCACCATTTCCGCTACTTGTCCCACGAAAAGTGGAGCAAGACGGTGAACTGTGTGACTATATTATCCCGAAGGGCTCACAAGTAGTAGTAAACGCGTGGGCCATTGGTCGAGATTCTACTTTTTGGAAGGACCCTTTAGTGTTTAAACCCAAGGGGTTTTGGAACTTGGATTTGGACATGCGAGGGAAAGATTTTGAATTTATTCCATTTGGTGTTGGTCAAAGAATATGCCCTAGCTTACCATTAGCATTAAGAATGGTTCAAGTGATGTTGGGTTCACTCTTGAATTCCTTCAATTGGAAGCTTGAAGTTGGCATCGAGGCACAAGAATTAAATATGGAGGAGAAATTTGGTATAACCTTAGCCAAAGCCTATCCTTTGCGAGCTATTCCATCCCCTATCCTTAGTACCTAATTTGAAGGTTCATTAACATAATAGTCATAATAAAGGTGGGAAATAAAGTAGTAGCATCGTAATTACAACCAAATTTAAATAAAACTTCGGCCACATGTGTAAGGCTGCATACAATATACTCTTATGATCCAAAATTTCCCAAGATCCTGCGCATAGCGAGAACTTAATGTACCGAATTACCCTTTTCATCGGCCACAATATCGGCTTTTTTGAAGATATGTTGCACATGTGTAGCCCTCTAAGATGATTAAGCAATAACCTGTATTTAGCAATGATAAATAAATAGCACTTCTCTTTTATTAATATGTATGTTTTTGTATCACACTTAATGATCTTCTTTTTTAAAATTTGATATTTGATCGATCCACTTACTTCTATTTTGCCGATATTAATAATCACCGTTGGAATTATGGTTCTTATTTATAGTGATGAATAGGAAACAATAAATTAAGAATTCAAAACTTTTTCACGAAGTAGGCAGGACTATACAGGTAGTCCTCACTATTAAAGATTGATCTCATTAATATAGAATAATGAAAATTAGAAAATTATGTTGATCAGAAGAGGAGATCTGTTGTGCAGTATCCGTTCCCTCGCAAATGTAGCCAGAGGTATAAGCATAATTTTTGTAAATTTATATAAGAGTTGTAAAATAAATGTCACGACCCAAATCCGATCGTGATGGCGCCCAACCGTAAGGCTAGACAAGCCTGACCAACAAATTCTCACAACACGGCAAAACAACCTGCCATTTGACAATTTAAGAAAAATATAGCAACTTTAGAATATTACTCCAATATCTTAGGAAATAGCATTACGAAAGAAAATGAAACAAACGATAAACACTCCCAAAGACCTGGGGTCACGAGTATAGAGCCTCTAAAATACTGGACAACAATATCTGAATGGGAAATACATAAGTCTGATAAAACATAAAGAAAAGTAAGCTGAACAGGATGAGTAGTCAGGTCTTGCGGATGCTGGGCAGCTACCTCAACAAACTCTGATACTCGAAAGATAACGAGCAACTCAGCTAAACCTCTGGGACACCTGGATCTGCACACAAGGTGCAGGGAATATGGAGTGAGTCTACCAACTCAGCGAGTAATAAGCATATATAATACCCGAATGTGAGAAAATCACGAAATAACACAAAGTAAAGCTAAAGCTAACAGTTCTACACCATTTACGATAGAATAACAATAGAACAGCCTCAGATATATCAACAGAATGTGAATGCATGAATGCGATGCAATGCACATGAACACTGCGGCGTGCAGCCCGATCCATTTGGGTACCCGCGCTCACTATGGGGGTTCAGACTCCGGAGGAGCTCCTACAGCCCAAGCGTCATATCATAATAACATTGATGCGGTGTGCAGCCCGATCCATACTCAGTCCAGACTATGCATGAAAGCCACACAACAGATTCATTTTATAAATTCTTGTTCCAGTTATTAGGAAAACATGATCAAGTTATTTAAACTTTAGAGACGTGACTGACCATGTCAAAACAGTGTCTAAACTTAGGACTGAGATCGAATAATAAGCAAGTCATGCTAACTCTGTAATATCAATCCCTGAAGGATTCTACAAGTCAGCACAAGTCTCCAAACATGGCATTAAGCCAAGATATCATCAATACAGTGTGCGAATCAGTCGCACAATAGAGTAAAATTCTCCCTCGGGATGAACCGAGTCACAGTTCCCAAATATAAATGACCCCGCACTTACCATGGAGTGCATGTCTCACCTCAATATAGTGTCACAGTGTGATACATCGGGGTTTCAAACCCTCAGGTCATCATCTACACCCATTACTCAGCTCAAGCCGGGTGTAGACTAGCTCGTGATGCCCTTTCCTCTCAAATCAACCTCCACGAGCAACGTATCTGGCCAAAACCACAATGAATACGTTACAATAGGATAAGGGAATATAACCCAATAGAAAAGACTCGAAAAATAATGAAATTCGCAAAATTAGCAAAACTCGAGTCCCGGGCCCACATCTCAAAATTCAGAAAACTTTACACCAAAACGATCCTTATCTCGACACGAGTCCATACATATCAAATTTACAAGAATCGGAGTCCATTTGACCCCTCAATTCATCACTTTAAGTTCACTTGGGTTTCAAGCCCTAACCACCATTTTTAACCTTAAAACCCTTGAATTTTCAGTGTATAATCCATGTTTTCAAACCATAATATCATAATCTAAGTCCAAGAATCTATACCTGACGATTTCCCCCAAAATCCTCTTCAAAATCGCTCAAAAGTCTCCTTAGTCCGAGGTCCAAAATATTCCTTCTCTTTCAAATTTGCAAAGCTACTGTTCATTAAACCCAGCCCGACTTCTGCTTCTGCGGTTAAAATACCGCACATGCGGCTCCCGCGTTTGCGACCAAATGACCGCTTATGCGGTCCAACTTAAAACCCAATGACCGCTCATGCGACGACCGCTTATGCGGTTCCCAAGCCGCTCTTGCGATCCTAGTCGGCCTCCCTTTGGCCGTTTATGCGGTCCATCCGCCACATCTGCGGAACCGCTTATGCGGCTCCTTTTCCACAGATGCGGAAATAGCAGAAGCAACAACATCAAACATGCCAAAAACCCCTACAACCTCCGTTCAACCATCGGGAATTACCCCGAGGCCCCTGGGTTAAACCAAAAGTACATATATGATCTAATACTTCACTCAAACTTGCTCGAGCCATAAAACTCTATCATTAATATCAAAATCACCAAATTTCTCAAATCTGAGCCTAAGTTTCTTAAGAACTTTCGAAATGCACATACAACCAAAAATCCAACCAAACGACGCCCGAATAATCTGAAATTTTACACACATATTCAAATTTACCTAACGGAGTTACTTCAACTCTCAGAATTCCATTCCGATCATCGGATCAAAATCTCGCATACCAACCGGATTTCTCCGAAATTCTAACTTCGCCAAAATAGGATAACTTTCACACCGATCCTCCAAATTCACTTTCAATTTCTCTTCTAAGTCATAAATCATCCCCCGAAACTAGTCGAATCATCGGAAATCCATTCCGAGCCCTCTAACTCACAAGTCAACATCCGGTTGACTTTTCTAACTTAAGCCTTCCTTAAAGAGACTATTTGTCTCATTTCTAACCAAACTCAATCCGAAACACTTCAAACTCACCAAACACATATAATGAAATACGGGAAAGCATAAAACAGGGAAAACGGGGCAGAAATACAAGAGACAACGGGTCGGGTCATCACAATAAATAACATTAATTATCATATTTCTAATGAGTAATAGTCTTAATGCATTAATTTTGTGGAGTCTTAAGTTAAAAGAGGTGTCGAATATAGTTCTACTTAACCAAAATTTTAACATGAGGATCTTCAAATATTTGCCAAAAATATGTTGTTAGCTCAACCTCTTAAAGCAAAACCAGGAACCTAACCAGCATGACAAATGGGGATATTGTTTAACCAGAAAATAGGAATTTCGGTCAAAGCTTACTTTTAGAAGAACTCGGGTTATTGATAATCAAATATAAAATAAATAAAAAGAATTGACTTAGACGCTAATTGAATAAGTAAAAGAAAGAAAAGTAAATCAGTGTATTTCAATAATATTCTATGTCATTACAAATGTTATTTCTCTCATTTTATAGCTATTTCTAAGTAATATGTTTCTTTATTCTCATAACAGAGCCATTAGGAGCGATTAATGAAATTTAATGTAACATTATAATTGGCAATCATAACTGTTGATTGCTATCTAGGTTCATTCTTCCGATGTATCTTCAAATCACCAAGAGGTCCGAGTAACCGTTCCTTCTTGTTTTATTGAATCTTTGCCTTGCATGTTAAGGCTCGTATCTCTTCAACTATTCTTTGCCAGCTGTCATTCTTTTATTGATCCACTTGTATTGACGTATCAGCACATAAATAACTTGATTTTTCCCAATACAGATAGTCCCCTCACTTACCATTTATTCATCAATTAAATATTTGGGAAGTGGATCTCATTAAAGCAAGAATTTTTGCAGCCATTCTTCGTATCATTATAACTTCTCCAAAACTGATGCTTTATATGTCTCTTCCATTTAATGCACGTGACACGTGATGATTTTGATTGGTCTGCAACCCTTCAACGCCTTTTGAGCCTTTTTTCTGGCCTACATCAATCACGAAGTGACAGTTTTGATTATGGCATCCCCATCATTACCTTTTTTGTTTGAAGGTTGCTTTTGAGTATAAATATAACCTTTGTCTTTTCTTTCTCATAAAAATTTCCCATCTTTGAATATTTACTTTTGTTTTCTTCTTCGTACAACCATGTCTTCTTCGAACCCTAATCCCCGAAGAGTTCCTATTGTTGACGAATTTTCCCTTGCTCCTGTTAGAAGCAGAAGAGGGGGAAAATTACGTAGTTTAGGATCATCATCTATTCAAGGTGCTTCATTGCCTCCACTTAGTTCTACCCCTCATTCTTCTTCTAGAACTAGGGGTTCTTTTCCATATAGATCTTCAGCCAGAAGTAGAGACTCTAATGAACCAGTTCGTGAACCCATAGTAGATGAAATTATCCCACTGAACTTTCTTTTTATACTAATAGAGAGTCAATTAGGAATCAGGTTTCTTCTATGTCCTCTCTTGATAGTGTTGATGTTTACCCTTTTCAGATTACTGAGGGTTTGATCTCTGTTGTCCGTAGAGATTGCCATTGGAAATCTGACTTTCCAATCATAACTCCTAATGCAAATCAAAGGATCACATCCTACATTACTGGATTTTCTTTCATGTATACATATCCTTTTATACTGAATTTTAGACCCCCCATTAATTGATCCTGTTATCATCGAGTTCGGTCATTTTTACAATGTTTGTTTACGACAAATTGGCCCCATTGTGTTGAGAATGTTACTTGTCTAAGGTACTTGGCGAACTTGGCTCAGTTGCCTTTCATTGTTTTTCATCTGAACCACCTCTATTCCCCTAAGGTTTTCCAACATGGGATCTTTACTTTGGTGGCAAGGAGTAAGAGGGTTTTAGTCAACCCTGAGGATGACAAGGTCCGTGACTGGTATGTCAGGTTTGTCGTTGCTCCTACCGTAGGGTTAGTAGGTGAAGAAAATGTACCATTCCATGAAAAATGGAATTTTGCATGTAAGTTTTCTTTGCAACTTTTTCCTTTCTTTTTCCCTTTTTTTTTTAAAAAGGGTTTGTTCTTCCCGTAACTATTTCGAATCTCTTTTTTCAGCGACCATGGGAATTATTGAAGAGATCCCCAATTTCCATGGTTAGGTAGAGAA